CTACCTTCTGACTGGCCTTTGTAACCTCCTTCACAGCTCATTCAAACTTTTGTGTGTGACATTTAAATTTTAGCACAATGAGAGGTTCTGCTACCAGGGCCAACAATTTGCTATTTGACATGTTCTTAATCATAGGAGGTTCTAGTTTGTCAGTTTCACTCCACTTAGTCATTATCTGCCACTTTGATGCTTTAAAATTCAGTTCTGGCACCTGGAAGAGACGTATGGAAGAAGCTTGATCTTGGTGATTAGCTCTGGCTTCAATGATCGTTTGAACAGCATCTATGCGGTCTGGCTTATGGGATGAGGCTAGTTCAGCTAGCAAAATATTTTCTGGGCATAAAAAGCCTTTCATTGAATGCAGCATTGTACGATCTTCTTAGCAGCTCCATCTTCTATTAACTCAGATCTTTGCATTAGGAAAAACAGATTTTGAGGACCATCAATCCCAAGCTCATAATACTTCACAGTAAACCACATAGGAGCATAAACATTCACAATATATATAGTCAAAATGTTTTAAACTGTTGATGGTTTTGTTGTACTCGCATACAGCCTACAGTTACCGCATGCAGTTGTAAGCTACCTACTGTGGCTACATGATCTAATCTTCAGACGCTCTAAATCCTTATGGAATTGCGAGAAAATGAGCGCTGATGTAATTTTCCACATGTATATCTGGTCTGTCGACAAATCCTTCCAAACTTTGTTGGGTATTATAGATACAGGTTGAGAACGACCAAATCGTTAGTAACTTGCCAATAGGTCCAGCAAAAGTGTTTGCACCTGCAGTTGGACCATCCTACTCAATGATGATATGCCTTAATGGCAACTCATTCGCGTGCAGAAGGCAAACATTCCATTGTAAAGCACGCCCAATGCTTACTTCAATCAAATGATTTATTTACCCTTCTGCTTCAACATTTGTGTTAGTGCCATCACCTGCCAAGGCTTCAATTTAATCAATTATGTTTTTTTTTTGTAGAAACTGGGCGAGAGATTTAGAAACAGTTATAGCTTTACCATTGGTTGGTGATAGATGACCCTGGAACTTTCTATCAGGGAGTGAAACTATTGTAACATAATTCTCAGTTTTCTTTAATTTATAGTGTTTCTCACCTCTCTCTTGTGTTAATGTCACATTTTTTCGATCATTGTAACCAATTCCACAACACACCACTAATGGTACTGCATCGTCTACTTCTAATATTACATTAACAGCTCTGCAAACTTTTGATTTGTCAACTCTTTCAGGAATATTGTATATACCAAGAGTGGCATTAACAATCGAAGTTGCTCTATCAGAGATCAAATTACGCACATTTGCTTCTGCTATCTGTTGAAGATCTCTTTCTCGATTCTTCAAAGCAACTTCTACAACACTAGCAGTACTTGATGCTGAGGTCAATTTACTTGGTTTGGTTTGGAAGTCTGAATCTGTATTAATATCCGGAATTGTAGTACTGTTGTCTTCCTAGGAGTTTTCGTCCTCATACCTACCAATTTTCACACTCAAGGAAGCAACAGTTTTAAACTGCGATTCTTGTTGTTGTCGTTCTTTTACACCCCTGGTGTCATCGACTTTCTTACTTGATTCTTTCTGCTGTTATTTTCTTGTAGCCTCTTTATCCACTGTACTACTTATGATCATTTTTCGAATAGATCGCTGATCTTCGAGAAAATCTCTATCCATACTCAGAACATCCTCATTATCAACAACTTCAAACAAACAGAAATTTCTTTGCAAAACTCAACTTTCTTATTTTTAAAGTAGTCTAAGAGATTATTGGAATTTGGACACTTTGGGTTTTTATACCTTCTGGCAGTTGGTATTCGGATTATACTTTGACGCTTTTCATAAACTTTGAGAACACAGTCCTTAATCGTGTCTTTTCTTACTGTTGGTAAAGATGCACATTTATAAATGCTTTCAACTTGTGACGAAATAATCTCTGCAATAATAGAATTATCAGGTTCTTTTTTTCCAGAGGTTTCTATCATCCATTTTTATTTCTCATACAAGAAGCTTCTAGCAATATCTAATTCTGTTGGAAGTATGCTTACAGGCAGTTCTGCTGGCTGACTAAAGGCAAGCTGATCTGTTGCCATTTCAGTAGATATTTTTGTTAAACCTGCCATTATAATCTGTAAAAAAGTAAGAATATTGATATTAAAATGCATGCTATGAGAAAAAACGTGGGTCAAATAAAGGAGTTAGTTATGAAATTATATCCTGCATCTTTTATTGTTCTTTAAAAACATTGAAGTTCCTACTTAATATTGTTTAAATTGTAATAAAGTGAAAAACATTGTAGTTTTTTAGGCCATTTACCTGTTAAACAAAGTCAGAAATTTCAAATCAATAGAGGAGGTTCAAGATATTACCCGTTTTTGATGAAATTTGTAATAAAGCTATGTGTGCTCTATTGAAGTAAATTAGCAACTTTGGAATTTGGGCGTTTTCAGAAAAAAGTTTCTTATGAACCGCCTTAATAATCAA